AATACATACAATACCTTAAGTGATTATTTTTTTTCTGAGTGAAAAGATCTAATTTTTCTCTCTTGATCACAAGGAAAAACTGCAGTCTCCAAGTAGGTTGGTTCAGCTATTAGTGTTAACCGTTAGTGTTACTGGAAAATCCTCTTTGGTTAAAGAATACTTTATTTAAAGCAAGATTATACAAAATGATTTTCAGCTGGAAATAACACCCCTGAAATCTAAAAGCCATCTAAAGTTAACACGCTTCCGCAGGCTGGAGCTCTATCGATAGGACTTAGAAATCTGAGCATTTCCCCACGTAATCTAAACAAAATTATCAAAATTATATTAAGTAAATACATTTTGAGGAATAGTAAACTTCTGAAAAAATCCTTAGAATATTAAAAGTAGAGTTCTGGAAGGAGCAGTAGTGGGCTAGAGAAAAAAATAACCGAGACAGAGACCTCTCTTTAAATGCTCTCCATGGCCTTGAACTCACTGAGAGCCTGCACTGGGTTGACATGTTTCTTCTGGGACGCTCTCTTGATTTTCGTTTGGGTTTCGTCTTGTTTCTCCCTCTTGACCAGGGGTTTCTTCTCCGGCGCCTTCATCTTCCAAGAGACGGCGGGGAGATTGAGGGAAGCCATGCCCTGGGACTTCTGGTACTTGGTGGATGCCACGTAGGAAGCCTTCACGGTTTGCACCACCGCGTTCATCAGGTTCTTGGCTGCTTGGATGAGAGACATGGCACTGTCCACCTGCCAAAGGGCAACATCCGAGTGTTAGACACCATGAAAACCCCACCAACACAGCACTGCAAAAAAACGATAGCCCTGGGCTGTAAAAGCACTCAAAACCTGTTTTTTATAGGTTTTCTGAGGTTCCAAATGAGAGGTGGTGTTCTTCTTTGGACACTACATGGTACAAAGGTGGTTTGTGCCACCAGAAATAACGGTGCAAGGATCTGTTTGCCCGTGATCTCTGCCTCCCCCATGGCAATGGCAGTCTAGAAGGTTTGTGCTGTTTGCTTTTGTGACTGCACTTGGTTTGTGGCACAAGGGTTTGGTAGTGGGGGCTGCAGGGGTGGCTTCTGTGAGAAGCTGCCAGAAGCTTCCCCCACGTCTGATGGAGCCAATGCCACCGGCTCCAAGACGAGGAGCCCATCTGTGATGGTGGTAGTGCCTCTGGGGTAGTGTATTTAAGAAGGGGAAAAGCTGCTGCAGAAGAGAGCTGGGAGAGAGGCGTGAGATGATGGGAGAGAAACAGCCCTGCAATCACCAAGGTCAGTGAAGAAGAAGGGGCAGGAGGTGCTCCAGGTCCCGGAGCAGAGATTCCCCTGCAGCATGTGGTGAAGACCACAGTGGAGCAGATATCTATCCCCCTGCAGCCCAGGGAGGTCCACAGTGGAACAGATTCCCGTGCAGCCCAGGGAGGACCCCACACCAGAGCAGGTGGATGCCTGAAGGAGACTGTAACCCCATGGGAAGCTCCACACTGGAGCAGGCTCCTGGCAGGACCTGTGTCTCTGGAGCAGTTTGTGGGCAGGACTTGTGTCACGTTCTCCAGGTGCCAGTGCCCTGCTCTGGGTTGGACCTCTAGCTTGTGAATGCCAAACAGCCCAGGGCAGGGTTTTGGTCTGGAGTGGTGTTTCAGCACCTCTGCTCAAGCTTACACAAGCGCTCAGCTGCCTCTACACACTTAGATCCCTGTGTTGAAAACATCTACAGAAGCTTTGGGGAAAACCCTTGAAGCCATTGCTTGTCTAGCAGCAAACCAAGCTGCTCTTCTTGTTCTGGTCCCTTCCTCTCCATCACGTTGCAATGCAAGCACAGAGCTGCATTTCTAAATGCATTGTCATGTGGCTTAGGATGTGAGCTCCTGCTGCCTTGGTTGTAGCTCGGCTTTTACAAGATTTCTGCAATGTACAGATGGGGCAGGACTGTAACACTGAGGAGAATTTTACTTTTGGACAAATGAAGCCCCTGGACTGGCACAGGTCTTCACCTCCTAACCTGGTGGAAGTGTCACACTCCTGCTGGCATGTTTTAGCCCCACTGGGCAGGCTCACGAAGTGATCATTTGACAACTCCTGCTTGTTTGTGGGGGAAAAAGATGTGCTACTAAGTGTAAGCACTTGAAATATCTAAATGGTAGAAAGTGGTGAGTTTTTTTTTCCATTTGCTTTGAAGGATTCCACCAGCAATACCAGACTATCAGCCATTTCTGTCCCTTCTTCAAACAATCCTCCTCCTCATGATGTGGATGGGCAAAAGCACCAGTGATCAAACGTAACAGGGCAAGGAAGAATATGCCAGAAGAAGCGAAGAATTTAGCTCCACTCGCCTCCCCCAATACCCATCATGCAGATTCCTCTTGGGAGGAAGCATTTCATGAACTACAGCAAAAAAATGATTCCAAGGCTGTGCAGAGACACGGGGTAGGTTTAGCTGTGCTTGTTAAAGTGATTTAAGCTCACTAAGAGTGGAAAACAGTCTGGAAAAATAGTAGTTTACACAAAGGTGAAGCCAATGAGTCTGCAAACACCGTGGAGTAAGGGAAAGCCAAGGCTGCATCTTCCTCCCTGACAAGTGTTTGAAGACTGTGGCAGTGCAGGCAGCATTATAAACTCTGCATAACATTAAAACTTTGATGGAATCCTCCAAAAGCTCTTGTCTGCATAAGTTTTGCACAAAAGCTCAGCTTGGAAGAGCTGGGAGGAAAAGTCACACGAGCCACGGCTCATACGTACCCCAGACACAACCAGCTCCCCGCCGAGGTTCTGGACTTCAGCCTTCACTTTGCTGCAGATGTTCAGCTGGTGGCAGTACAGGGCGATGCGCTGCAGGTAGGCCAGGAGGTCCTGCTTGCAGGCGGAGTCGGGGCACTGCAAACACAGAGGTCAGGTTTTACACTGCAGCCACAAAAATGGGCACAGAAATCATTTAGGGAGAAACTGGACAACGCCATCCTGTACTGAGAACGGGATCCAGAGATCACAGAATCGTTAAGGTTAGAAAAGAGCTCAAAGATCATCAAGTCCAACCATCACCCAACACTGCTGTGACCATTAAACCATGTCCCCAAGTGCCCCATCGGCAGATCATTCCCCTTTCTGCTGAGTTTTGACTGTCAAAAGGCAACTGAGCGGTGCCAGGGCATCACTAAAGGCATACAAAAACCCAGAAGCAATAAACACGAGCTGTCACAACACTGGGGCAGCTGCTGGACAAAATTGCTGGAGATCCTTTCAGCCACGTCGCTGCTCTTGGGCTCCCTGGAAGGATGAGGGCTACCAAACCTTCCCAGAGCAGGTTTAACTAGAAAAGGTCCTTCCTGTGCACTGTACAGAACCCAGCAGCAATGACTTGACATCCAAAATCTCAAGTTACTAGAAGATGTTACCGAATCCAGCCTCAGTTCTCAATCTGAAGTATTTGAGGGTGATGATAAATGACAAACCTGACAGCGGTGCTGCCAGCAGTGCCCAGGATGACAGATTTTTAAACCAGTCTGGATATGTTCATGATCCTGCTCTGGGGAGACCCCCCTGCAGTGCTGGGGCAGCTCTGGAGTCCTCAGCACAGCAAAGACAGGGACCTGCTGGAGCGGGGCCAGAGGAGCCCCAGCAATGACCCGAGGGGGGAACCCCTCTGCTGGGAGCCCAGCAGGAGAGAGTTGGGCTGGGGCAGCTGCAGAGGAGAAGGCTACAGCTGGGGAGACCTTCTGGGGGCCTGCCAGGACTTCAAGGGGCCTGTCAGAGAGCTGGAGACTGATATGTTAGCAGAATAATCCTAAATGTGGCACCAATTTACCACTTAATGCTTTACTCAAGCAGGTTTATTGCTTTCAGAGCAAGGTAACAAGCCCCTCCTGGGTGTCAGCAGTAGGGGCTGAGCCCTAATTCTCACTGCAGACCTTCTCTCCTTGGCTATAGGATAGAAGAAGAAACCCTGTATATAGAAGGCAAAACAGGAGACTGCACCAGAGGCCATCGTGTTGCACAAGCAGAGCTCTGCTACCAGGTGGTCCTGTTCACACCCAGCACTCACTTCCCACAGCAGTAACAGATCTGCATGATCAGGATCCAGCACAGCTGAGCGGTAACTGAACCCATGAACGAGGAGAGGTGAGGGGTGACCTGCTGGAGAGCAGCTCTGCAGAGAAGGACCTGGGAGTGCTGGGGGACAAGTTCAACATAAGCCATCAATGTGCCCTTGTGGCCAAGAAGGCCAGTGGTCTCCTGGGGTGCATTCAGAAGACAGTGGCCAGTAGGTTGAGGGAGGTTCTTCTGCCCCAGTGAGGCCACCTCTGAAGCACTGTATCCACTTCTAGGCTCCCCAGTTCAAGAGAGACAAGAAGCTACTGGGGAGAGTCCAGAGGAGGCTGTGAAGCTGCTGAGGGGCCTGGTGCATCTATGTGCCAGGAAAGGCTGAGAGCCCTGGGGCTGGTCAGCTGGAGAAGAGAAGACTCAGAGGGGACCTGATCAATGCTGAGCAAGAGCTAAAGGGCCACTGGGGGACAAGAGGCTGGGGCCAGACTCTTGTCAGTGGTGCCCAGTGACAGGACAAGGGGCAACAGGCACAAACTGGAACCCAGGAGGTTCCACCTGAGCAGGAGGAGAAAACTCTTTGCTGTGTGGGTGCCCAAGCCTGGGGCATGCTGCCCAGAGAGGTTGTGGAGTCTCCTTCTCTGGAGAGGTCCCAAACCCATGTGGATGCCATCTTGGGCACCCTGCTGTGGGTGAGCTGCTGGAGCAGGGGGCGTTGGATAAGGTGATCTCCAGAGGTCCATCCAAACCCACCATGATGGGACTCTGGGATCTCAAATAACAGAGGTTTAACTCTGAAAGGAAGGTGAGCACAGCGAATACACCCATCTGTTTTTTCCAGGGCCAGACCACGGGGGATTTCTCCACCAGTGTGGGATGACACAGAGGTGTCTCATGTGCTGCACACAGAGATGCCGAGCTGCAGCCTGAGCCAGCACAGACACACTCACCCCCCTGCACCTCTACGGGGTTCTGGCAAGCTGGGACAAGCACACCCAGCTGTGGAGATCAGGATGGCTTTCTGGGCATCCAGTCCCATGTGACCATACACCAACAGGAAACCTTTCCAAGGGAGGCCATGAACCACCTGGAGTATCTGCAGCCCTCAGTAGCCACGTCACTTCCATCAGTGAAGGGAAAACTGGGAAAAACGAATCACCAAAGTTTGCAGGTTAATTTTTCAAGCTAATCAATAGTAGTCAGTGGTACGAGATGTTTTAGAGAAAGCCCACAAATAGCATCGGCCAGGGAGCTAATGGAAAGCTGAAATTACCATTTTGGAAAAGACTCTCCATCTCCCCAACAGCTCCTCTAACAAAGGGAACGAGCAGCACAGCGGCAGCCTGAACGGGATGTTGACAACTGCACAATACGGCACATCCAGAGGAGGGCTGAGCAATTTGAGGTGCTTTTTGGGCTGTGAGCTTATGGAAAGCATTTAAGGAAAGACACTCTCAAGGAAAGAGGCCCCCGTGTGCGTACCCATGGCTGAATAAGGCAGCAGAAAGGTAGCGGAGGGAGCAGGGAAATAGGAAATATTCTTGGGTTGTATATATCAATAGATGCGAGCTGGAAAACCACATCCTAAAGTGTGAGGTGCTTCCACGAGCAGGAGAGAGAGCTGAGTTCCAAGACGGATGATGTTTAAATACAGATGTAACGCAAAATAAAAGAGAACCTCATCAAAAGGCACCGTGGCTGCCTGTATGAGCCCTGCCCCTTCCTACACACATAACAATTAAAAACCCCAAAAGGCAACAATTTCAACACTGATCAAGAGACACTGAATTATTGTTTTAACCCATGACAGCCCCAGAGGCCCCATCTGCAGAGCCAGCTAGGGAGGATTCCCACCACAGGGTCACAGCAGACAGCAGCACTCCAGGCAGACACAAATGGGTGCTGGGGGATACCCCTGCCTCCCCAGACCCCCCAAAATGAGATGCTGCCAGAGATGCAGTGGTGGTGGTTGGCAAAAGCTAAGCTGGCTGCTCTGAGTCCAAGTCAGGATCCATGCTGGATGTGAAAAACACACACACACACACACACACACACCCCTGCTTCCCACTGCCCCAGGGGTTCCTCAGGTCAGAAGCTGGATGTGGGCAGGCTGGGGACATGGTGACCATGGCAGGGGGGACATGTGTCGTTCTACTGGGGTCCCTGCACCTCAGATCCCCTCTGGTGTAATGGCCAAGAAGAAGGCCACTAGCATTCTGGCCTGGACCAAAACTAGTGTGGCCAGCAGGACTAGGGAAGTGATCGTACCCCTGGGCTCGGCACTGGTGAGGCCACAGCTTGAGTGCTGGGGTCAGTTTTGGGCATCACACAATAAGAAAGACCTTGATGGGCTGGAGTGGGTCCACGGAAGGGCAATGAAGCTGGTGAGGGCTCTGGGGAACATGGCTTGTGAGGAGCAGCTGAAGGACCTGGGGGTGTTTAGTCCATAGAAGAGGAGGCTCAGGGGAGACCTTGTTGCTCTCTCCAACTCCCTGACAGGAGGCTGGAGTGAGGTGGGGGCTTGGCCTCTTCTCCCAAGTAACCAGCAGTAGGACAAGAGGAAATGGGCTGAAGTTGCACCAGGGAAAGTTTGGATTGGATCTTAGGCAGAATTTCTCTCTTGGAAGAGTGGTGAGGCATTGGCCCAGGCTGCCCAGGGAGGTGGTGGAGTCCCAAGCCCTGAAGGGGTTCAAAAACCGTGTGGACGTGGCACTTGGGGACGTGGTTTAATGTTTGGTTGATGCTTGGTCTTTTCCAACCGTAATGATTCTGTGATCCTGTGACTGGATGCTGTGGTAACCTCATCCTCCCACCACTACCAACGAAAGCAAGCAACAGAATTACTCTTTCGCTTTCAACATTGAGGAAAAATAATAATAGGGGGAATTGTCTTGCTGCAAATCGTTTTGTGTCCTGATTCTAACTGCTTCCAAGCCCCCCACTCACCACGAGCAGACTGCTGCTTTGAGCGAAGATGGACACCTCTGGGAAAATCTGCCGGCTGATGGCCAGACACTTCACGGCAGACCTGGCCTGCCTGGGATATCAGCTTTTATGGCTCCAAAGGAAATGTGCTGGCAAGAGTTAGAAGTTCCTGACCCACTAACACAAGGGCTCGTGATTCACCCTGTGCCACAGGCAACAAGTACACAAAGCCCCTGCATTTGCTGGAAGCCCCTGTCAGGCATGGGAAGGCGTCGGTGCTCTGCTGGAAGGGCTGTGCTGGCAGGGTGCCATGCTAACAAGTTTCTACAGAGTTTGCAAGTGTATCTAATGAAATATGCAAGCTGAAAGGATTAGCAGAGTCTGGAGCCGGAAAAAAAAGCTATATTCTTGTCAAAATGACTAACTGTATAGTCCTGCTCATATTTATCTTCAAGCACCTGCTTAATCTTTTACATTTGAAGGATCCTACTTCTACTAAAAGGAGCCACTTAGTTTTCTTCTGTATTTTGAAATGGCCTGGTGCAGAAAACTGTACACCATGCTTGCATAAAACATGTGAATTAAAAAAAAAAAGACATTATAAACCTTCAGCCCTAGATCCCCCGAGATGTGGAACACAAACTGCTCCTTGCTTCATGTACCTACAGCAGCAGTGCACCTGATTCTTCCAGAAATACAGTTGTCAAAATGCTACAGCAAGGAGACCCAATTTAAAAATCACTTTTCAACTTTATCTCCCCATTGAACATTCCTCACTGCATCATTAATAAATGAGGGTGAAGCCAACATCCCCTGGATGAAACATTTGAAGAGAGATCTGCATTACAAAGATTTACTTCCAAAGTGACACGGGTTTATTTAAAACCTTGTGTTATGAATTTATATTCAGAGAAGGGCTGAAAAGCAAACGGCAGCTGTACAAAACAAAGTTTAGTCCATGATCTCAGACTTAACCTACCTGCATTTCAGGGTCTTTCTGAAAGGCACAATATTATTACTAATGCTGATGTTCCTCTGCAGTTTGGGTGTGGACCGAGACCAAAGGCACTTTTGCCCAGCCCAGTTTGTAAAGTGGCTCAGGGCAGGCAGATGCATTGCATAAAAAGCCCAAGCTGGCCACACTCCTTCAACCCTATGAGAATTATTCTCAAACACTTTTGTACATATAGCACAACAATGTGCACAACAACCTGGGACAGCAGCAAATACCTGGCTCACTACTTGCCTTGCTCAAAGTCTTCATCAACCCTGACTGGACAACAAAGAAAAATTCCAGAGAGTTTTGACAACCTCACCATTCGGTCTATGGGGCATTTGGAAATGGTTAATATTAAAAAGCTGCCTCCAAAATAATATTAAAGGTTGTGCAACAGGCCACGTGCAGTAATTATGGTGTTGCCAATGCAGTCTCATCATTGCTTTGGAAAGCACCGGGCATGTTCTGAGCATGCCAGAAGTGCCATGAAGTCAGTTTCAGCCCTGTTCAGTCACAGAAAGTGGCCTAGATACTGTGTGACATGAAGCACTGTTGGCATACGCTACCTTAAAATGGGAGGTGCTTGATTCAAGCCAAAGAGCTGCTGCTGAGCATATTTAGCTGCTTACACTGTTTTGGGTGGCAGGGGAGCAGCTAGAAAGAAAAGGCTAGAATTTTCCAGCAGCAAATCAGGAAAATCAGTTAAAAACCCCAAACCTCCAAACTAAACACATTTTCTTCTGTTCATCATGTCTGCAGCAGTAAAAGGCCTCCTACAGCTCATCTGTGCTGGAGGCTTATGAGAATGAATTGTGACTTACGTGGTCAGCAATAGTCCGGCCCAGCTTGTCCATCCTTGACCCAGCCTCTGCAATCTTCTTGGCTGCACTGATCACATCTGACGTATTTTTCAGTGGACCTTTACCTCTGAAAAACAGAACAGAGTCCACCTTCTAGAACCAGAAGAGTGAATTATGTATTGGTTTTCTCATTCTGCTCCATACAGCACAGGAATGATTCCTCACCTAAACTGCACCAACAGGGCTGCACGGCAATGGACAGGTATAACCATTACAGCACCCTCATTTGCATGACAGTTTCCCCCTTTCCAGCCCCTCCCCATATTTAGATTAAATCCAGAATAAAAGCATCTTAAATTCTACTGCTTTAAGCAACCTAATGATGATAAGAGATAACATTTTAGAAGGCAGATTTGCAATTTTCATGGAGCGCAACATCAAGTTTAAAAAACAGTGTTGTATAAAAGCTGGTAAATGCATTTCAAAAGGCATCAACAAACCTCTCTTTCTTTTGCAAATAGCTGCACTAGGAACTACTTCCACAGCACAGCAATCTCTAGAAGCCCACAGAATTTAATGTTGTAAAGAACTGAGCAAATATATACATACATATATATATATATTTTCACTGGGAGAAGAATCACCAGAAAAAGAGAGAGAGAGAGGGAAGGAGGGCAAGAGACGAGAGGAGAAGGAGAAGTGAGGAAAGAGGAAAAGAAAAAAGTGAAAAAAAAGAAAAAAGAAAAGAGAAAAAAAAAGAAAAAAAATGGCACTAGCTGCTGTGTATCTATAGATCAATTCAGACAGTTATTAGCACCCAGTCACTGCACAGTAATGTGTCTCTGGAGCTAACACACAGGCTTTCCTAGGGTAACACTTAAAGGAAATTATAAGAAGTAAGACTCTTAAGAGTACTTGCAAAATATTTCACTGAAAGATCAGCATCCCAGCCAGAGCTGAGGGAAGGTGTGTGCACAAATTAAAAGGACTCACCTGGTGAAGTCTGTCATTTCCATCATAATCATGCACATTTGTTTTGCCAGAACAATTATATCATTACCGCTGTCATCCCATTTTGATACTTCAGCATCCAATTTACTCTTTTCTTCCTGGAAGCTTGCAACTTGCTCAGCAATCTTTGCTTTTTGCTCTTGAGGGAGCTGAGCCATGATAGCCTGAAAGACAGAGTTTTCTCACATTGTCTGATGCTGCCACTTGTAGAAGGCTTTTCAGAACATTTCACTAATAACCAATTTAAGTCATGCAGATGGGGGATAAAACTTTAATAGCAATCCTCTACCTAAGGCTTTACAGAACCATTTCCTTCCATTTTGAATCCAAGTTTATGCTCCTTCTTAAGAATGCCCAGAAAAGCCAGCTGACACCTGAAGCATGGGCATTTGCATGATAAAACTGCTAGACTCCAAAAAATTTTGCCACATATTCCCATCCTTCAAAGAAAAACTGCATGAAGATGGGGGACTTGCCTCTTCAATAAAATTTAAGAGTTTTAAATCGAAGTTCCACTTAGGTATCTTTCAGTGTTGCAATGCACAGAAGAAATACTACGAGTCTCTTTCCTGCAAAAACCTAGATGTACTATTTTGAAACATGCATACTGAAGAAAGAGCTAGTAAAATTAAAGAGTATGTGCTCACTCCTGAACAAAATCTATTAGGCTAAGTTTACAACCTATTTGAGACTCAGTGCCTTTGCCTTCATAAATACCAGGAGCATCCACACCTCCAGGAGCAGGTGAAAAAGAGTTTTCAGTACAAAAAGCCCCTGGCAGCAGCAAGGCAAAAAAGTACATCAGCAACCTCTGCATTTAAATAAAAAGGGGGAGAGGGATACAGGAACACAGAAAGCTCAGGCAAGGAAGGAGAGCATAAAAAATATTCTCAGTTAGTTGAATTCCAAAGCCAATGTGGCGGAAGTTTGATAAATAAGGCCTAGCTACTTCTTGCCTGTTCTCAGGCTAAAGAGTCTTCACAAAAAACTTCCATGGCACCTTCCCAAGAGTGTAAAATGTTATCGATCCAGAATGGGACGTGTCAAATAAAAACAATAGGTAAGGCCTGTTTTTCCTTCAATGTACTGATTTTAAGTGTTCGCCTATTAATGATGATACATTGCCTATCAATGCTTTCATTTCTAGCAGTCATAGGAAATGCAGTTAGTTTAAATGATTTCATTTTTGAGCTCCTCTCAACGGTGTCTTGATAAATGCTCGGTGGCCCAACACAAACCATCACGGGTGTGAGAAGACGTTTTGTAAAGATTTCCTGCCCACAAACTTAGCATTTGCCTGTTGAAAGTAACATTAGTGCAGTGGAGTAATTTGCCTTGTATGTCCCTGCAGGAGCTCACCTAACTCCAAGGCAAACACCTGCAACGTCTGCCATGTCAAAGTATAAAGTAGCTTGTTGGTATTAAAAGGATTTTGATCTTTCAGAACATCCAAAATAAAACACAGATACTTCATGTTTCCCAAAACACAGATGTTTCAAATGCAACACAAGCTGCATTTCACTCAACCTCCTTTTCAGAAGAAAACTGGGAACAAAGAATGACAGTTTTCTGATCCAGCAATTTCGCCACCATCTCTAAAAGTCTTAACCTGGATTTTCAAAGCAAGTTGAACTGTTTCTTGAAGGCAGGTCACAGTTTTTAAGGCTCAGGTTTCTCCCTTACCCTTGCACTTTGCCCAGCAATGAGCTGATCATCTTCAGTCTGAATACTTGTTCTGCTTCGGACATCAAAATCCTCAGTCTCAAAGTCAGAATCATCCAGCTCTTCAGGAGTCTGAGGAAAGAGTTATTTAGTCAAACAACAGATTTCATGGCTCTACAAACCGACAAGAATATTGTTTTTTCAAGCAGAGAGAATGGAAATCAGTGAAGGTAAAAACTATTCAATGTTTTCAACAAAAAGGTAAATACAGGGACTGTATCCAGCTTGTAAACATATGTGATTATAAATGCTTGACCGCTCATGTTAAACACCATGGGGATCCTCAAAATTACATACCAGTAACTAAACATGGGAGATTTGTCAGGACACTAATGCACTCAGGACTTGAAACACAGAAAATAAGTTTTTGCAAAAGGAATAGTATTTTTGCAGCTTGGTTAAATGGAAAAGCTTCACTTGAGAGTCTGAAGCTAAAATTACACACGGCTTTAAGGCCTGATTCAAAACCACAGATGTTGTCTTTAGCACAATTAGGAATCAAAGCATCGACTAAATCAACAACAAATAAAATAAATCGCAATTTATTCTTCTCCCTCAGGAAAAGCTGGAAATTTTTAGCTAGTAAGGGCCAGCTTTTACGCTGTAGGCTAAACACATCTGACCTAGTTCCTGCTTGCCTAGGATTTATTTTATTTTTGCTATTGCCAGTCTATAGCTGGCAAACTTTTTATAAAGCTTATCAAGTTTGAACAGCGTGTTTGTCAAAATACTCCATCTTTGCCTAGAGTGGCACTTCATGACAATTTTGCAGAGCTGGATCAACAAAGAACTTCATAGATAAATACAATAAATTGGGATTAACAGATAAGATGCAAATAAAGTCCCTGTTCTTCAGATTTCTTCCCTATGATTTGAATTTTGCAAACTTGTTTTCCAATACATCTGTATTTTGCGATACGGTTACAATAAAGGTGGATATGCAAAACAGCTGCCAAAAAGCAGAGTTGAGCATGCTGACAACCAAGACCTAGGGTATTTTAGCCATCATCTTCTTTCCATGCCTTGAAGAACAGAGTACATCCACAAAATCAGCTACTGAGAAGCAGCTCAGTGTACTAATATTAAAAAAAAACAAACAAAACCTACACACACACACAAAAAATTTAAAAAAAAAAAAAAATTCTGCTGCATCTTTAGAAATTGTTTATGAATCTCCAGCCCCCTTCTCTGCCCATCCATCCCAAAAGCCCAAACAACTTGGGGTATACACAGTGCAATTCTGCCTTTCAACCTGTCACCAAGGGCAAAAACTCCTCTGGGGGTGCTGCCAGATTCCCTGGGGAGCAGGGTTGAAAGGGCTTTACTTCAGTCAGCTACAGATACTGCAAGATACTAGTTTTGAAAATCGTAGAATTATAGAGTCATTCAGGTTGAAAGAGACCTTTAAGATCATCAAGTCCAACCATTAACCTAACGCAGCCAAGTCCACTGCTAACCCACGTTCCTCAGCATCACATCTCCACAGCTTTGAGACCCCTCTCTGTTTCCTCTTGTCCTAAATACTCTCCACAAACACAAAAATTAGGTGTTTGAGGGACTTTTCCTTCTGGTTCCTGTAAAGAACAAGTGCCACCAGACAGTTTCAAGTTTGTCTGCATAGCAGGAAAACACTGACATCCTCATCTAACATAGGCTGTCTATAAACCCAGAGCTTAAGTTTGAAATATATTATATGGGGAGCACATATGGGGTTGTCAGCTTTTCTTCTGATTTTCCATCTTATTCTTTGCTTTAAGCAGCAAACAGTGAAGATACTACTGCAATGATTACTATAATCACATATATTCTGGGGCTGTACGTCCTTAATTTGCTTAGCACCAAAATGCATCTGCCATGGTTACCATTCTGAAAGCCAAAGACAGTTTCTCCATGAGGCATTTCTGTTTGAGTCAGAGCACAAGGAAAAAAGAAAAAACATTTCTTCTTGCTGAGTCTGGCTCCTGCCCATTTTTACCATGCTAGGATTCAAGAAATACACCCATAGGTCAGCCTCAACCAGAACTTTTCTGCATCCCTTCAGTCAACAGCAGGAGCTCCTCTGCATCTTCCCTGCTGCCTCCTACCAGCCTAACACTGCCTGAGCCACCAGAAACTGGGACTTCCAAGTCACTCACTGCACCCAAAACAGGCGAGCACAGAAGAGACAAAGCCTCTATGAACTGGCCCCCGTTTACTGAGGTTAGCCAATTAATGAATTACGTGCTCCACCAACTGCAGACTGAACGCATCCAAACCCGGTTTTGAGTGACTAGCATTAATCCTCAACATTAACTTAACGAAGAGCCACCGGGTTTTACTTCTCAGCTCTCAAACCACCAAAAAGCATCTTCAGCTGTGAGTCCTCTTGCTGCTGTTAAACCAAAGGTCACTGATTCCAGCACATTAACAAGCGAGGCACTACCAGGAGATTACAGATGGGTGAAGGGTCTTTTGCATCACCACTCTGGTGCTCACCGACGCTCAGGCCTGTTTAATGAATTTGAACCAAGCCGCACTTCTGAGGCACTCCACAGAGCCAGCAGCAGTTTTTAAGCTTGGGAATGTTAACATGAGCTAAAGGAAACTCTTCTGCCTGCTCTGCCTCGAGCTGACGCCCGTCGGTTCAGGAAGGGCAGGGAAGCTGTGTCAGGGGGTTGTGCTCACCCGGATCATCAGCACAGCCTTCCTGATGTCTCGGATGCCATCGTACACCAGTCGCGAAGCATCAATGAACTCGTTTTCATCCATTGGCTGGGCAGGGTCTGAGCTCAGGGCTTCCACTGCAGCTTCTACTTGCTCCGTAAAGCGGGGCATAACTGCACGAGAGACCACAGGAGAACAGTCAGTGCCCACCGCGCCGCTTTCTACGTGCTCCTGTAGAAGACGTGTGTGCACCCCATCGTTAATGACCACTGGAAACTGCAGTGGTTCCACTTAAATTCAAAAGATCCACTACAGAAGCACACCGGTACTGTAGCTCAAGTCTTAGTCTGATTTCTATTTGCTCTGCTGCTGTTTGGTTTTTCCCCCTCTCAGACACCATAAAGTTTATCGTGCCCTTCAAGTGGACAAGGAGAAGACACCTGGGGAAGCAGTCAGAAACTCTGGGATAAAATATTCAGCATTTGTTTAATGTTTGCTGCAGAACATTATTTGTACATCATTTTTTGGGGGAAAAACATAATAGTATTACCACCACGAAGCTCAAGTTTAACATGGCACTGGAAGAGGGCAGGCTGCACTGCTGTACTTCAGTGACTCACTACACCCCAGGAAGAACATCACAGAACCATTTACAGTCTGTTCCTTTCTTCCTATCGCCCTTAATTCTTCATCAAAGTAATTAAAGCAAAAACAACAACTAACAGGTGGCACAGCATTCGTTAAAGCGACCAGAAGCACTCAGTATCCTACATGGATGCTACCAGATAGTTCACACCCTCATTTCTTGTGCAGGTGTGGGAGACTACAACATACCTACAACGTTTCTTTAACGGTTACAATGACATGTTATAAAATTTACCCTAAATTATTATCCAGATTCTAATCTACTGCACCAATGTGGCAGAAATCTTCTTTCTGGATCCCAAGCACTCGCAGAGCCTGGTGCAAGACACTCAGCACAACTCTGGAGCCCTGACTCACTGTGTGGGACTCACTCCTCGGGGTAGTAGCTGGTGTTGTAGCTCCCTGCAGCTCCATCAGCGGCAGCAAGGGTGCTCAGGGAGACCTTGTGTGCGGCGGAGTTTTAAGCCACTCTACACAGCAAAATTACATTTCCCATTTTGCAACAGCTCTGCAAATAGCTCCCCCTAATTTTCATTCTAGAATGTAAATGGAGGCATTGCTAGATTTCACCGGTGCATTAGCCTCCGCTTGCCCAGGTGCTTGTAAGAAACAGGAATTCAGGGGTCCTGGGAGCAAGCAGCTCTTACCTGTGTTGGACAGTAACTTGGTGGCTTCCAGCACCTTCTCCGTGTAGACTCCAGGTTCGTAGTTATCCATTTCAGAAGTGACCACATGAATGACTCGAGCAGCACGTCCTCGAATTGCGCCAGCGGTGCGGTCTAAGCCGTCAACGTCTTTCTCTTGGAGAGCTATGACACACTTGTTGACATCTTCTAAAATATGATTCTCTGGTGGTAAAAGAAGGAGGATTTAGACGGCAACGTCTTCTATTCTGATGCGGTCACCAGCACTGCAATTTCTGTTCGTGACCCCCTCTATAAACCTCCAGTGAGATGCTGTAAAGCATTAATTTTTAAGCTGGCTACAACCAGCAAACAGCTGCCCGTCCAAACTAGGTGTCCAAAAGGCCACCAGGCCCTCCACCTACCAGCATCCACACTTCTTGCCCCTGTTTGGTCTTGATTTTACCAACAGGAGAGCTGAACTCAGCTGAATCCTCCCCTAATGTGCTTCTTTTGATAGTCCTCCCCAAGACTGCCCAAGCTCTTATTTCAAATATTTGGAAGCCACTCCCCCACCATTCCACGTGCATGGGGCAATGAGGCAGCCTCCCCAGCACCACACCCAATCCACTCAACACTCTAATAGACTGGGCACTGTTGCACGTTTCTAGCTTCCCACATAGTATTTTCCTGCAACCACACACATGTCATCAGAGAATATTAAACTGTTAGTCCTCCATTCAAATTTAAGACACGCAACATATGCAGTGATTTATGCAGAAAGCGTTCCAGCAACAGAGTACTCCTTGCCTCTTCAGAAAACAAAAAATAAAGCCAAGACCTCTGTTTGTAGTTTATTTTTAGAATATCTATTTTCTTTTTTATACAGAGCTATTTTCCCCCATTCATCAAGTCCAAGAAGCCCCAAATGACTAGAAGCCTGTAAGAGATTTCTGGAGATGCCTAAAGTGGTTGGAATTCTCACTTGGGGAAACCTACCCAAAAATTCTTCCAAACTTTGTCAGTGACCTCGCTAACACATCGGTGCCAACGCCTTGATATTGCCAACCTACATCAGCATTTGGGCTGCTTGGTAAGAAACCAACTTGGAAAGATTCCTGCCCTGTCACTTAATATAGTTGCCACCGTTACTTACCATTGACTTAATTACGATATGCCGCCGACCCGTGCCACTGAAGTGGCTTTTATTCCCTATGCAGGTAGGAAAAGAGCCATTTTGCAAGAGTTTGTAGAGATGAGAAGCACATCGAGTTGACTGATGGAGGACTGTATGAAATGGCTGAAGGGATTGCTGCTGGAAGTGTTACGCTTAATTTACATAAAATTAATAGAGCCAGGTGCAATATTGCAAGACTTCTGTAAGCAACCTGGACAAAAAACACACTTGTGAAACACCTCTGAAGCAACTCAGCCTGAACAAGTTCAGCTGGGGGCAGAATTTGGCCCTAAGAGAGAGAAGTGCAGGTTCATTAGTGATTTGACAAGTCACTGAGCAGGCAGCCAAGGTACAAGAGCTGCAGCAAGGAGCACACAGAGTTTTGGTATTTAAAGCAAGAGACAGAGAGTCCTGCAAGATGCAAAAGTGGAAAATAAAAAAGAAAAAGCATCAGAGTCAGGCTAAAACACAGATTGTTTATTGCTTGAATTCCTTAATGGATAAATTAAGCCACAGACCATTTAAAGGCCTCTTTGGATTATAGGAACTTTAATAAGAGGCAGGGAGAAAATGAAGATGAGTGTTTAAATGCCTGCTGATCATTTAATGCCTTTTGCAGATGTGAAGTGGTCAGAGAGAGACTTCTAGGGAAGGGAACCCCACCACAGGCTGCGAGGGGCCCCGGGGAAGCGTGGGACTGTCGGGTGCAGCCACTCTGGTTACACTCTCCACTTGGATGGTAACAAGCACGACCTGACACCATTCTATGTAAATCTGTTCATACACACACTGGTACCCATCCTGCAGGCACATGGCCCCTGAGTGTCTGGCCCCAAATGCCATCTGCTGAGGCTGGGGTGGCAGAGCCCACGAAACGCCGACGCGGGGGTTCAGCGCCAGCACCTTCGGGAACGTGGGGACGCCAGCCTGAATCAACGCCACCAGCCTTCCTGGGGCTGAGCAGGAGGAGAGCCCCTCAGCAACAGGGTCTCGCCTCAAACGCAGCACAGGCAAAGGCGTCTTCTCCTGCCCAAATAACCATAGGGAAAAATGGTGGTGTTTGGCAACAAGGTAAGAGAGTAAGAAGAAAGGCACTTTCTCATTAAAACTGATTTTTAGAGCAAACAAGGACATACATAAAACTGTGCAAAGCTAAAAGAATTAACAGTCCCCCATGACTGCCAATCCTCAATCCACCCCCACCAAACACCTTCCACCTCCACCCGCCTCCCCAGTAAGGGGGTTAAGAAATCCTTTTCCAAACATCCCAAAAAGTCTGCAAAGGAGTCTAAGGGCTCCAGGAGATCAAAACCTCAGAGCAACAGTCAGGAGAGAAAGCCACAGACGCATAAACGTGGTTGTGTTTCTCCACTGCATCCCCTGTGGAAGGTCTCAGAACAATTTCCATGCTGGACCCTCTTCTTGACAAGGGACATTGGAGGAACCAGGTCAAGCAGCGGTGTCAGTAGACATGGTTACGGAGTAACTCCTGGAGTGTTCATACACTTGTAAATACAGTATTCATCTTGTAATGAAGAAGGACAATCATCGGGCCCAGGCAATCTCCATCTGCAGGCTCTTAAGACAGAGCAGTGATGGGCAGTCTCTTGTGTAAGCCCCTGTCAGCGCCAGAGGAACAGAAGGCAGCAAATGGAATGATTTTTTTAGAGGGTTTCAAAGCAGATCCAGGTAATTTCAGAACATTGAATTTGACAATTACATGGTGTTATCAGCAGCTGCTCTAAAGAACCGAGAGAGTGGGCACACAAACACACCCCAAGTGCTTAGAGAAGGCACCGACAAGAGGGCTGAGAATTACAGAAGGTGCAGAAGAGCTTTCAAATGAGGGATAATGAACAGGCAAAGATTCTGCTGTGAAGAAAGAGCTGACTGACTGAGCGTAGGACACAAGGCTGTAGATTTACAAGCAGCATGAAGAACGTGCGTAGGAAATAAAACCTCTTCACCATCTTCTGCTACAACTTGGGGCATCAAATGGAGCAAACAGGCAACTGCAAAACCAAGGAGGTTCTTCACACAGAGCACAACTAAGCTGTGAATTCTGCCCAGGTTGATGGAGGTGCCAGTGGTTTATAATGGTCAGAAAAGCAAGTTTAGATGAAAAAAATCTGCCAAGGACTGTCCAGTAGATAGCACTCCTGATGCCAAAGCTCCCTGAGCTGCAAATCACTCATGGTTGGGAGCGGACAAGAAACATTTTAGGCTACAGTATTCCTCTGCTATTAATCTCCTAAGCCCAGCCAATTGGCCACCACCAGACTGTTGTCCTAACTCAATAGGGGCCTTCTTGTGCTATGTCCCTCATAAAGCATTGCAACCTGCAACACTGTGCATGTAAGTGTCCTCCTTCTACGATACTCTGCTTTTACCTAAACCAAACACTGCTTTCATCAAGCCTTCACTTGTGTCTAATTGATACAATGCTGTAGCATAAGCTGAATAATGAAGCAGATCCTTCACACAATCACAGAATTGGTTAGGTTGGAAAAGCCCTTAAGATCAGTGAGTCGTGATGGACAGCACCACACGTAGTAGGAACACATTGGGGTTCTTATAGATAAACACACACACAGGTACAGACTCACAAGAACTCTTCTAAATTCTGCTTCCACCCCAGTTAGGAACTGATACAAGTGGACTAATAACCCCAGATGGAACCTGGTATAAATCATACGAGTCACGACTTTATCAAAGAGATGTTTGGACTTTTATCAGATGAAGTGGAGCTGTGGCATTTATATGGAAAGCATTTATCAAAGTTCAAGCAAATGATATTTAAAACATTATTTATTGCTTTAATACTTTTCTAGCCTCTCTTTGATAACGGAGCACATACAAATAATTACTGAATGCACTCGGGCATCTGAAGTGGTCTCAAGCTACATCCTTTCCACGGTATCCTTCCGGGTGGTGTCAGCCCCCACTGCGGTGAGGAGCACGCAGACAGCACGAGGAGCTGGGACTCCTGGGTAGGAGGAGGCCCCTCAAAGGCCTGGGAAGTTTATGCTAACTTAGCACAGAGAAGATTTTTGTTCAGAACCCAGGGAGCCACAATACAACACGTATGACGACAGGTGACTCACTGTGGAAACACTGCTTGTTTTTTTGTTGTTGTTGGTTTGTTTGTTTGTTTGTTCATTTGTTTTAATTAAAACAAAAAAAATCATGGTCTTTTATTTCAGGACCTTAATTTTTCCTCTACATCTTCTAGCTATGTTCATCTGGTACTTCTGACTCCACACATCTTCCTGTGCACTCTCTCTTTGCAGCCAGCATTTTTAAGTCACTTGAGAGGCCCAAGCTTGTTCACACCAGGAAAATCCAACCCTCAGTTTGCAGGGGTAACCTGTGAATGCTATTGCAGACACAATTCACATGGTCACATCACCATGTCCTCCAACTAGGGCAGAATTAGAGGATGTAGAAACAAAAATGCCCCTCTGCTTTCTAGGTCACAGCAGTTAATAGTGGGTCTTTATCAACAATGCTGATAAAACAGATTATCTTAGCAGGCACTTTACCAAACGGAATTATTAATCTATTATAGTGATCTAATCTTTTTTTAAAAGCTTTAAAAACTTTACTACAGCTAATATGGTTTAAAATATTCATGGAAAGTTTTCTATGTGAACAGATTTATCTTAATTAACTTGTATGACCATGGTTTAGATATTCATTTTTGTTTATGTAAGAGGAGTCTAAGGTGAATTAAGGGATTGCACAAGTGTGGTGAGGAGCAGCTGAGAGACCTGGGGATGTTGAGCGTGGAGCAAAGGAGGCTCAGGGGAGACCTTCTGGCTTTCCACAGCTCCCTGACAGGACGATGGAGCCAGGTGGGGGTCGGGCTCTTCTCCCCAGGAAAAAGTGATAAGACAAGAGGAAACAGCCTCAAGTTGCCCCAGGGGAGGTTGGGGTTGGACCTGAGGAAAAAAAAAAATCTTCCCGAAAGACTTGTCAAGCCCTGTCCCAGGCTGCCCAGGGCAGTGTTGGTTGAATCACCATCCCTGGAGGGGTTTCAGAGTTGTGTAGATGCTTAGGGACATGGTTTAGACTTGGTAGAGCTGGGTTAATGGTTGGACTCGCAGATCTGAAAGGTCTCTCCAACCTAAACGATTCTATGATTCCCTGACTGTCTTTGTTGCTAGTTGGTAACTTGAACATCACCATCTTCTGTCTCCCCCGCTGCTCTGGTGAGGTTTGTCTGCAGCAGCTAGATGGCAATTCACGGGTAGTTCAGCTGGCAATTCCAAACCCTGAGACAGAAAGTGTTTAAGCTGCTCTGTCTGCTGACATGTAAATATATACATTTATGCACGCACACACCGTAAGGGCAATGACAGGTTTCTAGAGTCTTGAACCAAACTATCACTGTTTTCACACTATAAAAATACCTCTTCTCCACATGCCAAGATCTCCTGCTCTGTTTTCACACCTCACTCGGCGCACGATGACGCTTGCCAGGTGAAGTGTACCAACACCATCCCTTCCAAAAACCCAAGAAGACTCCAGAACACGTGAGGAAACCACCCGTTCCAGGAATGAGCTCAGCTATGAGACTGATTATTTCTGAGATCAACCCCCTGCTTACCCGATACAGCCAGGAAATCATCGATGGAAGTGATGTCATCAACAGCATCTGTCAGCACGCGGACTTGCTTCTCCCACTGCTCCTTGAAGAGGTCCATGTTTTCTTGGGCCAGTTTGCTTTGGGGTTTAGCAGCAAGAGCCAGGGCAGCATTAATAACCTGTAAAACACCTCTGGACTTTTAAAACTCTCCCTAACAAAACAACTCATTTCCATATGTTTATCCAACTCCACTGCCAACAAAGCAAGTTTAATAAGTTTTCAGGAACTTGATGTTTAAAGGCAAAAGTGTTTTTATCTGTTGCTCTCCCATTCAACTCACACCTCCTCCCACGTTTATTATGGTTATTTATTACAAGCAAAACCACTTGGCAAGTCTTCACAAGAGCTGGCTTCACCTCGCTTTAACAGCTCACCTTAAAAAGGTGTTGCTTTCTCAGTACCAGTTGTGGTGCTAACTATTTTAGACAGGATGACATTTAGTACAGTGGAGGCTGCATTTCCTGAGCTACTTACCAGAACCTGAGAAAAAAAGGTCAAAAAAGGATTCATCTTACACAGCCTGAAGTAGAACCAATATGCAAATATAAAAGGAAAGACAATTTTGGTATTTATCTTTTTTCCTTAAAGCTTTACTCTGTACCTTGCTGATAATTGTTACAGTACCTTCAGATTCCCATTAGGGCTGTGGAAGAGCCAGATCTGCCAGGGAACAGGAGGGTACTGTTTGATGTTCCTCCTGAACACCCCCCTACTAATTTCCTTCAACCCTCAAGACTGTAATTTACTCCAGATCCTTGTTTTTCTAAGCAGAACAAATGCTACACGTACTGCTGGGTAACAAAGTTTATGCTGTGTCAACTGATCAGTCTGTTAAATGACCAAAAAAGCCTCTTTGGGTGTGGAAGAAAGCAATCTCAAGAGCCTGCTCCTGTTCTTCCTGCACTATGCTCCAGCAGCATGACCTGGAAACAGGCCAGGCGTGGGAAGGCATCTGCAGTCCAACAGACATGACAATCCTAACCTTGTTTTTCAAGGTTTCACCTAAGACTGAGAGCTAATTAACTCCTAAGTTCAATGTATCATTTTTCTTCCCCGCTTCCAGACCGTATTAATTTCGCAAAGTTGACGAAGAAAACATGCAAGCACCAGATGTTCCTGGTTCTCCAAAATCTCCTTGCTCCATTTAAAAGTGTCACAAAGCATTTAAAGAAATATATAACTCACTAAAGACGAAAATGATGGTGATGGCAAACACATCACGATGGCACTGAATGAATCAGGCATAAGGAGGTTGATGCACCCAAGGGATGCTAGAAATTAGCAGTGACTGAGGAAAATCCCACAGCAGAGCTACACTGCTCTCCACGCTACCATCCTGCCCCTGGAGACCCAGGCTGCAGGGCTGTGTCACAAATCACAACACAGAAAAATGTGAGAAGCAACTTGGTGTGAGCAGCACTCTGACCTTCTGGTGGCCTTCTAGTACTTCAAGGGGCCTGTCAGAAAGATGGGGACAGACTTTTTATAAGGTCGTGTTGGGACAGGACATGGGGTGATGGTTTTCAACTAAAAGAGGCAGATTTAGACTAGAGAGAAGGAAGAAACCTTTTCCACTCAGTGTGGTGAGGCCCTGGCCCGGGTTGCCCCGAGAGGTGGTCGCTGCCCCATCCCTGGGACCATTCCAGGTGAGGTTGGCCGGGGCTCTGAGCAACCTGCTCTTGTTGCAGATGTCCCTGCTCCCTGTGGAGGTGTTGGACCAGATGACCTTTAATGGACCCTCCCGACCCAAACCAGCCTCTGATTCTATTGCATGATTCTAACAAGTATCCTGGAAACAAAAAAGGTAAACCAGAAGATGCTCCAGAAATCTGCTTTCAGATTTTACCCTGCTAGTAACTGTAACTACTGAGCCAGAGGAGATGGCAATACCAAGGGTCAGGACATTTTCTGCTGCTCTCTTCTCCTGCCTTGGCTCGTATCAGCTATGAAAACATCCCTCAAGCACTGAGACGGGTCAGCATTAATGCGAAAGGAACATATGGCCCCTGTACCTGGGTGATGTATGTCTGGACAGCAGCATCTGTCTGAACAATTAATCTTTGTCAACAGCACATGTCCAACCCCAGATGCCCACGTTAAACAACTCTTCACATGTAATGGAAGAGCTGTCATAGATAGAAGGCTCTGCAAGCGCTTGAGAAACTCAAGCAGCGTGTTGTCACCAACTCCAGATGCAGGAGGCAGAGGCTGCACCACCGTCCTCCCAACAGGCAGCTTGTCCAACTGAAAAAAGGAAATTGTTTTTATATATTACAAAAGCAAATATTCATGGCTAAGGCAACAGTGTTTTTTTAAAAACGGCCTAGCCTGTGAGACGGCCCTGTCTGGCATTTGGAAAGCAGCCAGCAGAGCTAGAGAGGAGGACAACCCAGTGGGGAAATCAACAGCTATCAAGTGTCACTGTGCAGATAAAGACAAAACTGCAGCTTACAAAACCCACACAGGTATGTGTGTGTGCTCAGAAGGGAATTCCAGCCAGCAGACACCACTCAACAGTCCATTTGTTGTAGCACACCCTCTATATCCTCATGTGCAAGGTGGTCACCATGTTCCCTTTTAGCAGGGGTGATGAAACCCTTCAGTCTATGTACAGCTTTACATTTACGTGGGAAATTACCCTGGACATGTCTCACACGTCTGCTTGGGGGAAGTAAAGTCCCAGGGATTACTGGCATACCCTGCGAATTAGCTCTTTGAGTAAATACTCCCCTCCATGACACCTGGTATCCAGCACAGAGTGACTGATTCATTTTCCAACAGAAGCTTGGACAAGCAGGAGAAAAGGGATGCTGTATCTTGAACAGGCTGGGTTGTGTAGCAGGACCATGATTCCTCTATTATCCATCTATTGGGGGTTGGGAAGGGACCAATTAAAGCACCCTACTGCTTCTCCAAAACCATGAAGCATTGGGCCATTAATTTAAAATATGACTACCTCTTACAGGAAGGATATATATATATATGTATTACAAAAAAAAACCAGGAAGGACATGTCCAGACTACCTGAAACGGAGCTGCTTCCATGTAAAACACTTGGCAGCTCCAGAGCTTTTCAAAATGCTGCCAGAGCACTGTGATCACAATGACTCACCGAAAACGTACAAAGCAAGGAATCAAACAGGGACGTTTTGAGACCGTCCAGAAGGAAATGAAGCATGGCAAGAAAAGGCACTATTTTTATCGGTGCTTTGTTTCACGTAGCAGTGGCAGTGTTCAAGGCAGACAGCCCAAGGCTCAGAAATGTGGTTCCAGTGAGACGCTTGAGTGGCTCTCCTCCACCCCACAGCCTCCTGCAGCAGCAGCCAGGACTTGGCAACGTGTGCCTCGAGATGGGGCAGCCTCCAGCTTCAAAAGATATGCAATTGATGTCTCAATCTGTACCTCAAATCCTCTTCTCACCTCTTCCATGGGAAGAACCTGGTTTGGGTATTTTTTGCCTCTGTTGAAACTGAAGTCGTCAGACTGAATTTATATATTTACAGCTTTGCAGGACAGAATGCTCCAAGGTTCCCTGAAGAGTGACCTCTGCCTGGGTTACAAGAACACGGCTACTTTGCCCAGAAGCTCTCTCCAAAATTCCAGCTATTCCAGGACAGAAAAACCCTTAACCTTACATATATTGCTTGTGGGTATACTAAACCCGCTTGTCACCCAGAATGATTTTTTTTTAAGCTTAATTTAGGAGGGTTTCCAGCCTCACCTTTATAGCACCCGATCTGAAAGACTGATGGAGGCTAGAAGAAAGTTCTTATAGATGGTGGTGTTCTCACAAAGAACAGTTTTGAACACTTGGCTGGCATGGCCAAAGGCAGAAGCAGCACATAGGAAAAGAAAACCATCACCTATTTATTTTGCTTTGCAACCCCTGTGTGTTGGATCTTCCTACAGTCCCAGCACCCATGATGTCCGTAAGCTACATAACTCTCCCTTTCAATGGCAGTAGTGGGTTTTATTATTTTTCCTTCAGTCTTTTTGATAGGGCCTTTCTGCTCTTTACAGGAGACTGTTCTTTCTGCAGCTGGTTTAATTTTTACCCTGTTTCCTGTAGTATTGGTTGTAAGATGCTACTATGCCACAAGAAGGAGTTTTTCAGTTTCAAAAGCTCTAAAACAAACACTTCTCATTAGCCATCTTTTCTTTACAACCAAAATATCTGTGGTTCCTAAATAACTCACTTGGTTTGTGGTTTTAAATAAAGATCTTGATTACCAGCTTTCTTGGGGCATTTGGGTAACAAGCTCAAAAGCAGCTCTACAGCCATCAAATCCAGGACACTTTGCATTTATAAAGCCAAAAAAGCTAATAAACCAAGCACTCACCCATCAGCTAGCATCTCAGGGGCAGAGAAAAAAGGGACACACAGAAGCCAAGCCCCAGGTGGAATGTAAAAACCAGTTTTATCCTGGGATATGTGAAAGGGAGCTTGTCAAGCACACCATGGATGGAGTTTGCTTTGGGAAGGAGATCTGAGAGCAAGCAAGGGCAGCACCAGCAATCTCATCTTTCCCTCTTGCAGCAACCTCAGCACAAGGCTGAGTGGAAGAAGACTCTTATTCAACCTGCCCAAACTGGTAACTGCACCACGCTGTGGCCCTTGTTGGCTCTTTCTCTGCTGCCTCAGACTCCCCCGTGATGCAGAGGGCAGGTTGCAAGGGAGCACCAAACCCACGAGTCTCAGATCACACCTACTCAAACGGTCAACAAATGAATCCCTGACCTTCCTCCCAAAGCTGCCAGGCCAGCTGAGCCCAGCCAGGGCTCTCTCTCTGCCCAGATGGGATTTAATGCCCGTATTTTTCTGTATTAAAGCAAGCAGAGCCAGCTTACTGGCAGCTTGTAAGAAGCTGCTCATAATTTAATTTTACATACACCAGACGCCAAAGTTCCTTCCAGCGCTCACCCCACTCCAGCTTCCTTCCCTGCTCCTACTGCATTTTGCTCAAGTGGGGAAAAAGCTTCCTAAGCAGGACATTTAAGTCTCTTCGAGTTACATCTAGCCCCAGGTTTGCATCCACATGTCTCTGTGTGCTAACCCTCGTCGTACTTCAATACAGCAAAAAGCACTCTGCAGGCTCTGATGAGCTGAAATGCCTGGAA